ACTGTCTTGAAGGGTATGGTACCTCAAGGTATCCATCACGCTGTATCCTCTATACATGGCCTCTGAGAGCATCTTGAGCTGCATCAACATCCCAGAGTTGGTTATGTATCGTGTGTCCGCCTCCTCGACGATGGTGCAAGCTCTCATCAGAAGATGCTGCAACCTCTCCACCATCTTCTCTGACTGTGTATGGCTAGAGTAGTGGTACTTGTTCATCAGGAAGGAGATGAACCGGCTTAGGAGTTCGCCTGCAACTGCAGACATGGCAGCCTCCATGGCTGGGATTGATGAGGTCGTTCTGTCCAGACAAATTTAACTGGGCCTCTGCCAAATCTTGCAGAGATTCTTGGCAAAATAGAAAAGTCTCTAGAGATGACTTCGATTCAGACGAGGGTGGCTGACATGTGACAATGACATGCCAACTATCCAAGCAGCATCAAACAGTTGGCAAGCACAGCGACTCTTTCTACAGTAAGTAGGTCCAGATTAGTTATTGCCTTTCCTTGGACTCTTTCTACAGTTATATCTTAAGCGTGAGAATGACAAGCCAACTGCCCAAGAAACATGAAAATATATTTTAAATTTTCACAGACCGACATGTGCATTTAACTTATTTTGGTGTTTGTCTTTCATTGGACTCGTTTTATATTTTATATTTTGAAATATATTCAGTATATGTGCACTCAACTCTAGCATAGTTTGACCGTGGAAACTGATTGGGCTTTTGCAGATGAACTTTAGTGGAGAATAGCCGAGCGCAACTCAGGAAGGCAACGATGTGTGCCCTTTTTTCTTGGTCAGTGATGATGGGAATCACAACGCCATGGTTCAGCAATCTTTCAGGGAACATGTATGTAACCTATGTACTCCTTTGGTTGGTTTCTTCAGAACCTAATCAGTCTATGTGGCATATGTTTGTGTTAGTTCTGTATTTAATCGGAGACTGGCACATCTTATGCATTCTACAGGGTTCAGGCTTGACCTGATGTTTATCTCCAATATGGCAAAAACGGAAAAGGAAAATTGTACTCCCTCCGTCCCAAATTAAGTGACTCGACTTTGCATTCACTTTAGTACAATGTTAGTGCAAAGTTGAGTCACTTATTTTGGGACGGAGGAAGTATGACACAACTTGTATGACGACGAAACTAGGAGTTATCTGCGTACATGAAACTGTTTTTGTCCCCCGTAATGGTTGGGATGAGAGCAAAAGCGCTTCACTTGCAGACAAGCTACTAACGGAGGAGTTGCAGGTCGTATCCGGGTGCTATACATGGCAGTCAGTGGACGGGCATGGTATGGCTTCTTTTGGGCTCAGAGACAGAATCTCGTGCACCCCACCATATTTTTTTGTTTGTTTGGACTTTAAGGTCTGAAAATCCTAACAGTGGCATATTCCTGTTCAAAGTGCTAATTTAATCATTTTCAAAATATATCACTATGCATGTTTTTGTTGTACTAAAATCTTATATGGTACGTAGGTTTTTCAGGGTTTTAACAGACTTTAAAAAGGACAAAAAAATTCGAAGCCCCTTCTCAACCTTCTCCTATTTTGTGTGTGTGCAGGGATCAACATTCCTTCATCAAGAATATTTTTGAATGACCTACAGACGACTCAGATGGTCATGTGTCCTTTGCAAGCATGCACAGTACGTCCCATGATGTGCTTGCTCATGGCATCCTGATGGAGCCGGTGAAGATTAGTGCCGATGGATGCACTATGAAAACCAGTAGGCGCGGAGATATAAGCATGACATTACACTATATTTAAAGTTCTTTGTGAAGCCTTAGCCGTGGTCATAGCCGCACTATAGTCCAATAGGCCGCGGCACTTCGTAGGTGAAACAAAAGAGAGTAATGCCTGTTAATGAGCGCGCACAAGAGCTTGCGAGCTTTAAAAAAGCCGAGCTGAGCAGGGTTTTTCCCTTGTTTTTCGATAAAGGGCATTTCATTGAATTGAGTTATCGAGGTGATACAGTCGCATCAAAAGAACGCCCGGCCTCTGCATAACCAGATGCACATAGCCAACAAATCCAAGGTCCGAAAAAAAACAGAGCTAAAAAGAATCATAAATCCAGCCTAAGACGTGGCAGATCCTATCCGAAGATCACACCGCCATCCATGGGGGTAGAAAACCTCCCTAGCCGAACGCTCCAGCCGCGTAGACGCCATCATAAAAAGGTCTCTGTCCTCCGGCTTCTGCAGGATAGACCAAGTACGGAGCCATCACGTACATATATGAATAACCTGCATGGGAGATGAAACACATTTATTACTAAAAACCACATTATTCCTGGTAAGCCACAATTCCCAGCATAAGGCAGTCGCCCCCACAAGAATGTGTGCAGAAAATTATTTTTGAATTCCCCTCAACCAGTTACCGAACATATTACGTGCACTTCGTGGGGGGTATAGATTTGAAGCAATCTGAACTATGGCCCAAACTGACCGAGCAAACTTATACTCAAAAAATAAGTGCGTAATAGACTCATCATGTTGGCAGAAAACACATTTTGTACTATCCTGTCAGTTGCGTCGTGCCAAATTATCTCGAGTTAAGATGACCCCTTTATTTAGAAACCAGAGGAATATCCTCACTCTTAGAGGTATTTTGAGCTTCCACAATTTCCTGTTATCAACCGGAACCTCGCTGTGAACAAGTGCATCGTACATGGACTTGACTGAAAACTTGGCATTTTGATGCAATCTCCATCAAAAAATGTCCGGTTCACCTGACAGCTGAATGACCTCCAATCTATGAGTTTCATTCCATGCTGCCAGTCGAGGTCCAAAAAGATCCCTACAGAAAGAAATATCTGGTTTTCTTGTCCCAAAACTTGTTTGATCGTGACAAATTTATGTCTGACAATTCTGTACAAGTTGGGATATTGCACATTGTGAGGGGTGGTACCTAGCCAGGTGTCCTCCCAGAATCGGACCTGCGAACCGTCTCTAACCGAGAACGTTCCAAATTGGAAAAATAATTCCTTAGCCTTCATCACCCCACTCCAAAAATGTGAATCACCACGTCTCCAATAAACTTGAGAAATGGCTTTGGATCCCACGTACTTGTTACGAATGATTTCCTGCCACACTCCATTCTCAGTGAGTAGTTTGTACACCCATTTACTGAGAAGAGCAATATTTTTAATCTCAAGGTCTTGGATTCCAAGTCCCCCTTGACTTTTAGGTCGACATAATACATTCCACCTAGCCAGTTGATATTTCTTGGTTTCATTATCACTTTGCCAGAAAAAACTGGATCTGAAGTAATCTAGGCGCAGAAGAACCCCATTTGGGAGGTGGAAGAATGACAACATGTATAAAACCATATTACTGAGGACGGAATTGATCAAAATTAACCGACCTCCATAAGACAAGAGTTTGGCCTTCCAACTGGCTAGGCGTTTCTCAAGTCTCTCTTCCACAAATTTCTACTCAGCTATAGTTAAGCGCCGATAGTGTATGGGTATCCCCAGATATTGGGAATTTCCCGAGTTGGCAGCCAAAAATGTCAGCATACTCAGGTGCAGATTCTTCAGCATCGCCGAAGCAAAAAAATGTCAGCATACTCAGGTTTTTCCCTTGTTAGGTTTGTTGAGCTTAACGAGCAAAGTCTTAACAATCCTAGTAGCTCATTAATCCACCCCTAATTGTGTGAGTAAATGATATCGAGGATCTCCGGGTTGCTCTTGCTACCGATTACGGGGAGGAGATCAACAGTTAATTTGCGCACTTCTACTGTAGAGATCGCCGAGTTCAAGGTTACCGAGCAAACTATGTCCATTTAGTGTATCCCTTCATAGATGGCGACCACATTCACAATTTTTGACTTGCCAACAAGCTACCATTGTCAGCTCTAGGTTTTGAATGTCAACGGTGCTTGCAGTGGTAGGTGGCCTCCGACTCCTTGGTTGCGCATGAGTTATGCGCTCCATGTTGGCGACATGCTCATGCATGGTAGGCACAGACAACTCCAATGCATGTCGCTCCTCCTCAGCGGCACGCTCCAAGGCTATGTGGGGCTCCGTGTGGTAGGTCTCAATGCAGTAGAAGATGACGATATTATCCTCGGTTAGCTTGTCGTCCTCCTCAAAGGTTGTGCTTATCTTCCTCGTGGGGAAGAAGCTACGAGTGGGACTCCTCGCATGATGCCTTTGCCTTTGCCATGGCTATCTCTTCAGAGTTGACGTAAATGGAGGCGGAGCTCACGGCCATGCATGGCAGAGTTCATAGAGGGCACGACGAAGCTCATGCAGGGCAGATTGTCAGCGCCGACCCGAGGGCACAGCAGGGTGGCACCTCCACCAGGACAACTGTGTCGGGATCAGCCGCATCATCGTATGCTACTCCAGTTGAGGCGGGTGGGGGTGGGTTCTCGGTGGTGCTAATCGAAGATAAGAAGTGGAGGAGACGGCGAAATTGGAACAGTGCCAGCAGCGGTTGCGCCGCAAAATCTTGGGCATAGCACACAACAAAAAATTAGTTTATGACTGGAATGAACATTTTTTTTCCCTTCTAGCTAGCAGCTTGAACGGACAGGATAATCAAATCCTTGGATCCTAGAGCCACTCTGCTTACGCAGTGACTCAATTTTAAGAAACAACAAATTAAATCATGGGGAGTCAACCACAGATAGATTGAAGTGTTGATCCACGGATTAAAATGATAACCAACCATTTGTTGGTTTGTTAGGACTTAGGAGGGTACGTACTTGTGGCACCGGTGCACTGTTGGCCAAACCCATATACGTGATAGGTATATGTCTCCTTTAGCTGATCATCATTTCGTTGTAGGCAACATTTCTATCGGTAGGGGGTCGTCTATAGTGACTTTATCAATCTTAAAGCATCGTGACTCAACATATCTGTCGTTTACTCACTATTTCTTAAAAGAAAGAGAATAATAGAAAACACTAGATTTGGGATGGTGTGGCCCATTCATGCATCTTATTGCAAGGGCACGGCCACCTTATTGCGAGGGGTTAGCTAGCAATTAAATCAGGCATCCTGGAGTCGCTTGGTGGGCGACACGGCTTCTATAGCTTCTCCAAGAGGCCACGCGGCTTCGATGAAGTATTCACCATGCTTCACCTTCTCTACCACTGTGATCTCCTTCGTCGGCTCCAAACCTGCACCCACCATATCATATCAGTTAAACCATGTCTAACTAGTTAGCATCACATTGTGATAAAACAACAGCAACTATACTAAAATCCGTCAATTTCATCAAAGAACACTGAATACTAATATTTCTACTGCTTACCGAATCCATCCACGAGCAGGGAGTATTGGTAGACGAGGTCCATGCAAAGGTAGGGCACGTCGGTGGCTCGAGCCCTTGGGTACGCAGCCTTTGCTTCCTCCATGCTCAGCGGGCAAATCTTCTCGGCGGCGGCCCTATACGCCGCAGGGGTAGTCTTCCCGCTGGTAGCCTCATTGTCGATCAATCCAACCTGCCTCAGCCAGAGAGAAACATAGCAATCCATCAGTTCTTGTCACAAACATGCGTCCAGATTAAATTAGCCAATGGCTCACCCTTGATGCCATATAGTAGAAACTGGAGGCGGCGTAGAGGTCGGCCTGGCCGGCACCGCCGCCGCCGTTCCACGCGCCATTGAAGGTGCAGTTCTTCGCGTCACAGGGTGCGCTCAGCTTTAGTGCTTTGGTCACATCCACTCTGCACTTGTCATATGCTGCTCCTGTTGGCGATGCTATGGCGTCGTACTTATCTCCGTTGTAGGTGTATTTACCTTCAAGGAGAAATATATATACATCAGATGGAGTTATCGTTGATGAAGAACTTACTCAACCAAATAGGAAGGTGTGCATTCATGTGTAATGTGCATTACCAATGAATCCGCGCAGCATGCAGTAGCTGATATGTCCATTCTTTTCCTTGAAGATCTCTCCTCGAGCAGCCATTGCGCCGTAGTGCAAGTAGCTGAAATGAGAACACCATTAAATTTTCCAGCAGCTCAAATAAGTTACTATTGAGGAATATAGTAGTAGCTTAAATTAAGTAGTCAAATAATATGCAAGCAAAATACCCCCACTATGTCAAATTACAGTGCATATTAGATTTGCATAAGTCAAATCA